ACTTGAATATCACATTCTACTTTTCTTAAGGATCAAAAAAGGCCATATGAACATAGGACTGGAAACTCTTTCTTCTCGAAATAAACATTTTTTTGTTTATGATGGAATATTTTAAAGAATCCTTCAAACTTACTTTAAAGAAATTACTGAAATGATTTCCTTCTGACAATACATGCTTCACACCGATGTATCAGAATTGAAGAGGTTTAAAAATTTCTGGTGTATTCCGTATTGTATTTGTACGTGTATATTTTATTACATAAACGCGATAATAATCCGACTTTTTAATGTTTCCAGACTATAATGGTATTATAATAGTATTATTATAAATTAAACTTTTTAGATGTTCCCGCAAATAAAAATCCAAAGGAATTAAGTCAGAAAAAACGTGCAAAAATGTTGACAATGCTCGTAATTCTATGTGGGACAGCTATTCAGCTATTCATAAAAAATTTCGATGTAAGCACTTTTATATCTGAGAAAGAAAAACTTTTTGGATCTATATTTATATGATCTTTTTTCATCTTTAAAAAGCGTATACGTTACGAAAGTTGGACCATTCTATTTTAATGTCGTTCACAACACAAAAAAGATGAGAAGAAAAATTGAAATAACAATTGAGTCTGAGTCATTAACTGTTTCTTTATATTTGAAAAGTGATTTTTTTTTTTTTTATATAAATTTGATTACATCTTTATACAGATTTAACTTTTCTAGGATATGTCTTTATAATCTTGTAAAAAATTTCTTGAAAATATCTACTACTTTTGATTGACAATTAGAAAATTCTTAAATGTGACTTTGAAATGAGTTTATTTTGTTGTATGCACTTTTTAATGTTTTCTGATTATGAAGGAAAACCACTTGATATTAAGGTTCCAATGGGAATATAGAACCTTCTTTATAAAAATTCGCAAATATACATGTATGTAAATACACAGATGTGCATGTCACACTGTTAACTTGAATGATTGACAAAGTGCCGACATAGTTCGCATTACAAAAATAAAATTATCAAAATTTTTTTCTAAGGATTTTTTTCTAAAATTTAAGTTTCAAGACAAAATTAAAAAAACTAGTAAAATTCCATAAAATTCCTTGATTTCCACGAATAAAAAAGAAATTCTTTAAGAATTCCAGAATTTCCAATAAATATTTTGTTTTACATGTTATCACAATCACATTTCAATATATGTCGCACAATCTTTTTTTTTAGTCTAATTAATTTCTTCACTTGCAAAATTTTACCCAAAAAGTTTTAAGATTCGACGTAAACTAGAATTTTTCGGGAAAATTCGATATTTATCTATTGTAGGATGATAAATAATATCATTATTTGTTAAAATGTTGGATTTGTCTAATTTTATGGAAGACAGAGTGACGCGCTCCTCGACCGTTTTCCAAACAATAAAAACTAGGTCTTCTTGTCAACCGCATCGCGGTTCAAACTAGGGGAATGGAACGAGTACACGTCACGGCAGGGAACCAGGGAAAAGGTGGAAGAGGGAGGATAAAGAATACAGATCGGTGACGATTGAGGAGTCGGTGTAACCGGCTCGCGGTTGACAATTGGCCATATATTGAGACATAAACAGTGGCGTGTTTACCTACCTAACCTCTCCCGCGATGACTGCACTTGTCCGTTCATGCCTGGGAACGGAGCGAATAAAAGTTTGAGATTGGCGTCGTGAACGACGGTATCTAGATCTACTCGCAGACAATCTCGTGAATGACGCTTCTCCTGAATTGGGGAAGGCACAACACGACACGACGGGGGCGATTACATTTTCGCACTCGCGCGAAACGTTACGTCGATTCCTAGGGTGTCCTAGGGGACGTCGGCACGGTGTACGGCTACGGCGTCGCGCATCGTTGGCAATCAGCTCATTCGTACGACGGCGTCGGCTCCGATTGGAAATTTTTCCTTTTACGCTCCACCGCGGCACGGCGTCGCGTTAGACGAGCCGGGCCCAGGGCGCATGCGCGGCGCGCGCAACGCCAGCAAAGTGTCTGAACGCAGCGCGGGTCCCGCGCGGGCCCCTCCGCTGGCAACTTCGAACTTTTTGTAACTTTTGTTCTATTTTTTCTTATATTTTTTGTACATATCTTATATATTTTTTTAATTGGACGAATTAAATATGAACGTGCTCACTTATCTGTATATTTGAAGCAGTGATTCATTTTCTAGGAACGTCCGCGTAATGCGCGGCGTATTTATATACGCGGCCATTGCGTCACGCATGCGCACGGCGACCGCGTATGATTGTAAACACTGCACTTCGATGCACACTTGCTTCATGACGCAGAATGACGACGACGTATCCGATATCCGATACAATCGCAAGCGCGTTGTGTGAAGTTGGCTAACGAAGGATGGATTCAATGGCACGAGTCGCGAAGAATCGATCTGTCAGCGATTACGATTAGTGAATAACATCGAAATGGAATATTAGCACTTCTCTCTCTTTTCTTCTTCTTGCGTTCTTCTTCTCTCTTTTTTTCTTTTGTGTAGCGAAATTTAAAGCGTTCGTCATAAAGCGACGGCGATAAGGATCGTGATTGACGATCGCTACATATTGTTGTTGTATTGCGAAGAGTGAGTGAACGAGCGAACAACAGAGAAAGAGAGAGAACGTTATTTATTAAGCGTCCCAAGATAAGTTCTTTTAAATGCAAGAAAACAACAAGATTTAAACAACAAGATCATCAACAACTCATATGTTAAACAGCATAATACAAATACATAACTGTATCAGCATCTAACATAATATTAAACAATTAATACACGGGATGTTTCGAAGTTCGCGAATAGTAAGAAAGTTATTGGGAAATAGTTTTTTGAGACTTTTTATTTCAAACGGTAATTCTTAAGATATAAAGATTTAAAGCTGATCGATCAAATTAGTGAAAGACTATAAGAGTCATTAATATTATCACACGCGTGATTCATTTATAGATTATAGATTAAATGTAATCTGTAACTGGTCAGTTTTATCTTCATATTTGAAAAACTATTGCTTTCTTTAAGTAGAAAATTTTAAATAACTTATTATACTCGTTTAACTTTTTGAAAATTTTTCTTATTGATATTTTGTTAATCGTAGATATCTTCAAATACAAGAATAAAATGGGCATTACTCGGTAAAAGATTTTCGGCTAATAATTTTTATTTCTAAATTTATATAAATTTATATAAAGCATAATCATTTTTTTCGATAATTATTATGTAATATTATATCATGTATATACTAAATATACGAGAGATGAGTAAAAAATTCTTGTTTGAAGTAATTTGTTAATTATTTCAAGAAAAACTTATTTAAAATATGTTATACTATAGAGCTCATCAAATAGATGTTTTTTATGTGTTTGAAATATCGTATCATTTTATTTTTCAAATAAAATACCTTATTTTTTTTAATAAAAATCAAAGGAACATCGAATTAAAAAGCGGAATTAAAAAGCATTAGGATGTTATGTACTGCAAAATTATTAACTTTAAAAGAGATTTCATATTTCATTTTAACATTTTAATGTGAAATGTAGAATATATCGCAAAATATATTCATATTTGCAATAATCTTGCTTTTATACTTTTATCATATTTAATATTTTTTTTCTCGTTTCTTCTTCGTAATTTTATTTGACATAAATTTCTGCAGCGCTTCCTTCATTTCTGTTTGTCTATGCTTATTATTCTTATTGAAATTTATTATTTTTTTTATCAATGTAATATGAATAATGTTTACACAAATATACATTTATTTCGATTTGTTATCTTATCACTCACGCATGAGCAACGTTAAGTTATTGGCATCTCAAGGGGAAATTTTCGCAAATCGATGCGGTAAGTCAAAGAACGATGTAGCGCGTCATGCAAATCATATTCTTCTCTTCATGGGGAAACAAACGGAAAATCCTGATTAGGCGAAAGGAAGAGGTTTAAAGAAATCGCGCGCGAACACGCGATATCTTCTCGTTGCCGTTATAGGGACACTCCGAGGAGGATCAATAAGACGATCGTCCTATTAACCCGTGGTCTCACGTCTTTTTGTTATAAAACTCTCCAAGATAGTAACAGATATTGGGGATATATATTCCGCTTAACCATTTGGAACGCTCACAACTGTCCGAACGCGAAACCAATAATTCCAGGGCGAAGCGCGATTGGAAAATTGGGCACAACTTGGAGCGCCCTTTCATGCCACTTTAGAATAAATGCCAGACTATTTTGTCTTGAAATCGAGAGACTCTTTGAGTCCACTTATATTCCACTTTGTACGATCTACAATCCGCGTCAGATTTCAAAATGAATTCCATTTATAATTTTACATGCCGTGCATTGATGTAGTGTGTGTGTGTGTGTGTGTGTGTGTGTGTGTGTGTGTGTGTGTGTGTGTGATGCATGAAATACCTTAATATATGATACGTATTTTGAGTATATATTATTTGTATTTATGTGTATATATTATTTTATATGATGTATATTTGAGTACATCTGTATGTGTGCATTTTGAAATGTATTTTTCTTTAAATGCTTTTACTTTTTAAGAAATTACATAGGATATAATATATTAGAGAATATAATGTTATAATTGGACTCACATTTATTTAAAACGGGCTTATACATAAAAAGGAATGAGAACTTGTCGTAAGATAAACATCTTCGGATTTTTGGATAATTTTTCTTCGCGAAGATGAGGGATCGATTAGAATGTTTTTTAATAGGTTTTTCACAAGATAAAGTAACGTCGATGTTCTCAGAGTAATTATATGGTAAGGCACGATTAATAATCAGTGCATTTGATATCGATTGATCCAAAGGTACGGATTAAGAACGAATATCGCGATGTAGGTCGGCGGTTTAATTAATGGGCGTCTCTTCATTTTCGGAGATTCGATGATGGCTTTGCGAGAATCTGAATTCTTCGATCCCGATTAAATTTCCGAGAGAAACATATTACTAATGCTTGTTCGCACGTATCGCGGAATCTTTGTATCTCTTCTCTCTCCAAAAATATAAAATAGAATTGTTAAAAATGAAATATTAATAACAACAAAAAGGAACCGGCAGAGTTTTAGACGTTTAATGATCTCTTCGTTTTTTAATTTATATAAAAATTTAAATAAAATTAAATATTTAATTAAGATCAAAATTTATATAAATTCAAGACGAATAAATTCAAGACGAATTGCTTGTGTTACCAATTATGTGTTGTTTTTATTTTTAACGGATTTGAAACGTAGCGATTCAAAGTCAAAGCTACGTATTTTTTTCTTAATAAATCGATAATCAAATTAATAATATCGATTAATTCCCTTCTCTCTACAAGAAGATATTATTATGAAAAATATCACTTCAGTCGGGACATATTAATATACTTAATAGAATACATTATACATATGTATATAGAATATATATGTATATAGAATACATATGTATATTTCTCAGCGTAAGAAACTTTCCCTCGGTATTGATGATACTTGATTATAATTAATTGGATTTACTGAAAATCAATTACGACGCAAGAACACGAGTCATCTATTATGTGAATCGCAGTCGTCATTTATCGCGATACCGCAAATCAATGTTTCGCTCGGATAACGATAATTGCGGTTTATCTTCGCGATAGCAACGCCATTTATCGTTGCCTGCCTTTAATTTAGATAGATGCGCAAATCTGCGATGCGCGAGCATGTCTGTTTGTCTGTTTGTCTGTTTCTCTTAATAAAGGCGGCGAGAGGATAAGGACGAAAAAGAATGTAAGGGGTGAGGAAAGAGGAAGAGAGAGTACTCTTTGCTTGCTCGTGGAATAACATCGTCGTCGTCGTCGTCGTCGTCGTCGTTGTCGTCGTCGTCGTTGTCGTCGTCGTCGAAACGACGAAGTGGCAGGAACTGGCATGCGCGATTCATCGCGGAATCACCAATAAGCCCGTAGAATTCC